ATTGATCGCACCAAAAACCGAAAAGACCAGGCGCGGAAGGAGATTGTGACACGGCAAATGTTAAATCTTTTTTTTTGTGTTAAACTAATGTATGATGGCAAAATAGTTGTTTCATTTCGATGATCATAATCGAAATCGAGGGTCGAAAAAAGATTTCCTAGAAGTTAACCTTTTTAAAAGATAATGTACTTTTTTCTTTCCACCTTTAATGAGATACTTGGAAACAAGCAACAAAAAATAGGAGATATAGAAAGAATATTTGATAATTTTAAAAAAGACAAATGTTGTTTATAGTTTTTTATAAGTTCTGATACGACTTCTGGTGATCTTCCGAATCCGGAAAAAAAGCTTAGAAATATTATTGTTGTTGTAACTTAAAGAACACCAAGAGTATTTTGATTTCGAAAACCATTTGCTATATAATTGATAAAATACTGTATAAAGATAAGTAGCTTTCTCGTAATTTTTTAATGGATCAAAAAATACTCGCATGAACCAGTATTTTCAAACAGCTTTGATTGTTTAATGTTAAATTTTTATTAGGCGTTAATATTAGTAATGACAATGATTTCGAACCTTTAAACCATTTTTACTTGGAATAATAACAAGTGATTGTTTCCATATATCATAAAAGAATTGAATGGTTATTAGGATTGTTTATTCTTCTTCTAATCTATAAATGGAATTAGAATTTAAGCCTCATGATGAAGCTAGTTGTTTTAATGAGTATATATGGCGTGTTAGATAAGCTTTTTAGTAATTAAACTTTAAACAATATGATTGCATGCAAGCATACAGTCAGACTCCTATATAGTCACACGCCTCGGGACCATAGTGAAATCTCAAGAATTTTGGTGACTATAGTGTTTGTGACTATACAGGACATGTTGTTACTATGATTAATTAGTAGCAGGTAATTTTCAAATTAACAAAAAAATGTGACTATACTATGTTGTGACTATATAGGATGTGACTATATAGGAGTCTGACTGTATTTATTAATTTTAATTTTAAAATTTTAAGCGACATATATAAATAAATTGACTTTTTTGATATTTAATAAATAATGAAAAGTTGGACAAACTTGAATCATTAAATATGAATAATGATGATGGCGATAATAAAAATAAAAATAAAAATAATAAAGACATTGCGATCATAACAATATTATTAGTTGGAAGTATGGGAAGCGGAAAATCAACTCTAGCAAACGTACTCAGTGATTCTGATGATTATAATACAAGCCATCGTGCAGTTAGTTCAACCAAAGATACTAATTCTTGTAATTATGCGATTAATGGACACTATAGGAATTGGAGACACTAGGATGCCACCAAAGGGAGTAGCAAGCAAATTAGTTATGGTTGCTGAAGCTATTAAGTGCGGAATTAATCAGATTTTATTTGTTGCCAGTGGAAAATTTACTGATGTAGAAATCGAAGCCTTTGAAACATTGCAAGAAGTTGTTTTTGATAAAAAAGTTTTTGATTATACTACTATTGTTAGAACGAAATTTCCTGATTTTGAAGACGATGTTGAGTGTGAAAAAGATTATCAAGATACGACTTGTGTAGATGATAAACTTACTCAACTTGTTAAATCATGCCAAAAGGTTATTCATGTGGAAAATCCACCAATAGCTGGTCGGTATGAAGCAGTTGGTAAAGAGTGCAGAGAAGTATCAAGAAAAAAAATATTAAATTACTTGAATACTTGCACAAATGTTTATATCCCAGAAAAGTTACAAGAAACTATGAATGAAAAAGTAGGAAATTACACAACCAACAAAGAAAAATTACAGCAAAAAGTAAACGATTTAGAGGAAAAAGTCAGGAAATTGCAAGAAAATAGTTGTATTACAGTCAGGATTATTACCAAATATGGAATTTCCAAATACTGTAAGGATAGACAATCTAGAAATCTTTTAGAAA